TTTTAATTGAAATACTACCATTTGGAATGGGCCCAGCAGTTTTTGGTGAAGGTTTGATTTTCTTATCTTCGTCCAAATGATGTGAAAGAACTTCTGGAGTAACCTCTTTGTATTTATGTAAATGTGCTTGAACAGAACTCATTTCTTGAATGGGCACAGTAGATTTTGGTGGAGGTATGTTTATCTTATCTTCGTGCAAATGATGGGAAAGATCTTCTGGAGAAATATCTTTGTATTTATATAAGCATGGTTGAACAGATCTCATTTCTTGAATGGGCTCAGTAGTTTTTGGTGGAGGTATGTCTTTACTATCTTCGTCCAAATGGTGGGAATGAACTTCTGGAATAACCTCTTTGTGTTTATATAAACGTGGTTGAACAGAACTCGTTTCTTGAATGGGCACAGTAGTTTTTGGTGGAGGTCTGGTTTTCTTATCTTCGTCCAAATGATGAAAATGACCATCTGCAGTAACCTCTTTGTATTTATATAAACGTGCTTGAACAGAACTCATTTCTTGAATGGGCACAGTAGTTTCTGATGGAGGTGTGCTTTTCTTACCTTCGTCTAAATGATGGGAAAGATCTTCTGGAGAACCTCTTTGTATTTATTATAAACGTGCGAAAGAACTCATTTCTTGAATGGGCACAGAAGTTTTTGGTGGAGGTGTGCTTTTCTTCTTACCTTCGTCCAAATGATAAAAAATGAATATCTGGCAGTCCTCTTCTGATTTATTAAACGTGCTTGAACAGAACTCATTTCTTGAATGGGCACAGAAGTTTTTGGTGGAGGTGTGCTTTTCTTATCTTCGTCCAAATGATGGGAAAGAAATTGTGGAGTAACCTCTTTGTATTTATATAAAGGTGCTTGAACAGAACTCCTTTCTTGAATGGGCACAGTAGTTTTTGGTGGAGGTATTTTTTTCTTATCTTCGCCCAAATGATGAGAATGAACTTCTGGAGAAACCTCTTTGTATTTATATAAACGTGCTTGAACAGAACTCATTTCTTGAATGGGCACAGAAGTTTTTGGTGGAGGTGTGCTTTTCTTATCTTCGTCCAAATGATGGGAAAGAAATTGTGGAGTAACCTCTTTGTATTTATATAAAGGTGCTTGAACAGAACTCCTTTCTTGAATGGGCACAGTAGTTTTTGGTGGAGGTATTTTTTTCTTATCTTCGCCCAAATGATGAGAATGAACTTCTGGAGAAACCTCCTTGTATTTATATAAACGTGCTTGAACGGAACTACTTTCTTGAATGGGCACAGTAGTTTTTGGTGGAGGTATGTTTTTCTTATCTTCGCCCAAATGATGAGAATGAACTTCTGGAGAAACCTCTTTGTATTTATATAAACGTGCTTGAACAGAACTCATTTCTTGAATGGGCACAGAAGTTTTTGGTGGAGGTATGTTTTTCTTACCTTCGTCCAAATGATAAAAATGAATATCTGGAGTAACCTCTTTGTATTTATATAAACGTGCTTGAACAGAACTCGTTTCTTGAATGGGCACAGTAGTTTTTGGTGGAGGTATGTTTTTCTTATCTTCGCCCAAATGATGAGAATGAACTTCTGGAGAAACCTCTTTGTATTTATATAAACGTGCTTGAACGGAACTACTTTCTTGAATGGGCACAGTAGTTTTTGGTGGAGGTTTGTTTTTCTTATCTTCGTCCAAATGATGGGAAAGATCTTCTCGAGAAAGCTCCTTGTATTTATATAAACATGGTTGCACAGAACTCATTTCTTGAATGGGCACAGTAGATCTTGGTGGAGGTGCGCTTTTCTTACCTTTGTCCAAATGATGAAAATGAACATCTGGAGTAACCTCTTTGTATTTATATAAAGGTGCTTGAACAGAACTCATTTCTTGAATGGGCCCAGTAGTTTCTGATGGAGGTGTGCTTTTCTTACCTTCGTCTAAATGATGGGAAAGATCTTCTGGAGAAACTTCTTTGTATTTATATAAACGTGCTTGAACAGAACTCATTTCTTGAATGGGCACAGAAGCTTTTGGTGGAGGTATGTTTTTCTTACCTTTGTTCAAATGATGAATATGAACATCTGGAGTATCCTCTTTGTATTTATATAAACGTGCTTGAACTGAACTCATTTCTTGAATGGGCACAGTAGTTTTTGGTGGAGCTATGTTTTTATTATCTTCGTCCAAATGATGGAAATGGACATCTGGAGAAACCTCTTTGTATTTATATAAACGTGCTTGAACAGAACTCCTTTCTTGAATGGGCACAGTAGTTTTTGTTGGAGGTATGTTTTTCTTATCTTCGTCCAAATGATGGGAAAGATCTTCTGGAGAAACTTCTTTGTATTTATATAAACGTGCTTGAACAGAACTCATTTCTTGAATGGGCACAGCAGTTTTTGGTGGAGGTCTGGTTTTCTCATCTTCGTCCAAATGATGAAAATGAACATCTGGAGTAACCTCTTTGTATTTATATAAAGGTGCTTGAACAGAAGTCATTTCTTGAATGGACCCAGTAGTTTTTGATGGAGGTGTGCTTTTCTTACCTTCGTCTAAATGATGAATATGAACATCTGGAGTATCCTCTTTGTATTTATATAAACGTGCTTGAATTGAACTCAATTCCTGAATGGGCACAGTAGTTTTTGGTGGAGTTGTGTTTTTCTTATCTTTGTGCACACGATAGAAATGATCTCTTGGAGTAAACTTTTTATATTTACATAAACGAGATTGAACACGGCTTATGTTTTGAATTGGAACAGTAATTTTTGGTGGAGGTCTGTTTTTTTTATCTTTACCCAAACTATAGGAACGATTTTTTGCAGTATCCTTTTTGTAATTAAATAAACGACCTTGAGCATAATTAAAATTTTTAATTGACATAGTAGTTTTTGGTGGATGTGTACTTTTCTTATCTTTGTCCAAATGATAGGATGGACTTTCTTGAATAACGTTTTTGTATTGAAATAAACGAACAGGACTCACGTCCTGAGTGGTCACAGTAGTTTTTGGTGGAAGTGTGTCGTCCTCATCTTCAAACGAACTATATATCGCACCCTCTGGCACTTTTCCTTCCAATTTTATATAAGTACTTCTTCTCGGTGGGCGCATATAGTCATCGTCGTCATCTAAACTAAAAGTTGCACGTATTGGAACTTGATCCGTATCACTATTGATCGACGCACCTTTCAACGAATCGTATAATTTTCTACTGTCATACAGCAGGCGCATATACACCTCATCGTCACTAAAAAATTTATATGGTTTGGGTTCATCTACTCTTTGGCCTGGCATGACTAGAATTGATAGTAGTAAGCAAGAAACAATGTTTTGCAATTTATTTCAAGACTGCTAAAAATTTTTGACACTTCTTTTCGTTGCAAATGACAATATAGTTTTGTCGTAAATTGTCGGACCTAGGATATGTTGCATACTTCGCTTCGTGCAGGGTTGTATTTGTATTGGTTTGATGTAGTTTATCGTCTGTTTAAATTTAATTTTGTTTGTATTTTGATTTCTATCAGATTTCTGTAATTCAAAAATTGAATTAACAAATTAAAATAGAAAATTAAAACAAATAAAATTCACACATTAAAACTTAATTCACAATTTTTTTTTGGACATTAATAACTAGCATAACAAAACTAAAAAATTTATGTTAATATTCCGCCTAGAATATCTTATTTTGCCATCAACAGTTCTTAAGGTTTAGGGAATTGAGTTATTGACCTTAGCGTCACTCGCGGGTGTTTGCCAGTTGGTGGAACTGGCAACTTTATATACCATTTTATTCGAGCCAGTAACGGCGCAAATGGACTCAAAGTTATATTCCTATTATATTTAAATTAATCGCACACAATTATTTATTCAATAAAGCCAATTTTATGGACATAACCACGGTTTCAATAAACTTGATGTTGCTGTTATTGATCCCTATATATAATATTTGATCTTATGTTTTCTTTTAGTTGCATTTATCCTTATTCCTCAAATATGCATCAGATATTTCACCAAAAAAAGAAAGAAGAAAAGAAAACGTTTATTTTCCTCCAGAAGGTTTTTGATATATGGAATGATGTTTATTTTGCTATAATTTATAGACCAAGGACCACACCAAGATTAGTTGCTTCTACTCAAGAAATGTGTTAAGTTATATGCACACGATTACTTTGGCTACAAATTACGATAGTTGAATATTGATATAAAATTTAAATAAATTTTTTATAAATTATTAAACAAATATTTTTTTTTCGTTAATAAATGTATTAAAAATTTTTACTAACATGGCACGACAGATGCGTTATGCCGACCTTGAGTGCAGGAGCATATCTCATGACATGGTTACCACTTGAGGAACTCATCCGCTGTAAAGCCATCCGCTGTGAGATTAAATGGGTTGAATTTTTATAGATACTTAAAAGTAGATACTTAAAATGGATAAGTATTTCTCAAACTAAATTTATTATAAGGCTATCATTAAATCATTTAATTCAGATTATAAATAAAAAATTAAAAAAAACATATCGTATTTTATAATAAAAATTGCCAATATTATGTTAGATGTATATTTATTGTTTCGTTTGTTTTACATAAGTGTGAGTGTTATATAATGAATGTATATAATGAAAATTTATCTACTACTTGAAATTTATTTCTGTAATTTCTGTCATACAAATTTGATTCGACTTTCGCCCTCAAAAATGTAGCGCATTTTAAATCCAAAGTTTACTGAAATTAGAATGAAAGTGAATATTATACAAAATTATAATCAATAGAAATTATAACAATTTTAGTAATAAATACATAATTAATAAGACGAATTTTTTTTCTAATTTTATTTAAAATTTTGCAACCATCGCATGTTTATTGAGCGATGGTTGGAATCCTTCCCGAATTTGCTTGGGAGAGTGTTTAAAAATTTATTCAATGATGTCATCTATTGGCAACTAGTGAATAAAATTCGTACTTCACTTCACAAATGATGAATGCAGAGAAGTAGAGCTGCCATCTGGTGTTTTATATAAAACACCATTTATTAAGAATTTACAGGGTCTGTCACATTCAGTATAACCAGCTACAATATTTTGAAAAGTTTTCATCAAATTTTTTAAAATGTTTTTAGTGCTTATCGGCGGAATAACCTTTAGTCGATGACTAGAGTAGGACCGATTCTCTTTTTAAGGACACGAACATTTCAAAAACGACTTTAGTAAAGTCAGATGTTCTGATGAATAACTACACACGATAAATGGTAGGAGCAATTTTTTGTTTTTGTAGTCAATGTTAAAAGTTTATAACTTTAAAGTTCGAAATCTCGAAAAGTACAGTGTGGTAAAAAATTGATTAAAATAGCTGACTATAAATCATTGTCAAATGGATGTGTCGGAAAAATTGGAGTTGCGCCTCTAGATATCTCCTCGTCAATTTCAGTTTAAAGAATAATCAGAAATTGTATAGAGAATCGTCTGATGGTTATTAATGTTATAGAAAAGTTTCAGTTTCTTGCACTCGACACATTGATTCCTATGGAGGTTCATGATCTTGATGTAGCGGTATGTTTTTTTATCTTTTCGAGTGCAGTAATCTAGTTGAAAGCAGCTATAAATACCGTAACCGCAAAACAATGCCATGTTCACAATTTATGTATAACTGAATAATATATATTCGAGGTAATGCTCATGACTATTTTAAAATGGGTGAAGATATTTAGGTTACTCAGATACTGAGAACATAATCTTATTTGAAGTGTAAGAATAGATTGAAGTGAAATCTTCTAACCGAAAGTGTAGTCCAAATAATTCAAAATGTTCCCTTAATCTATATGAATGATAGAAAGGAGTGATGCTTTTTGGGATCATTATTAAAGTGGATTGGTGCAAAAATTAATTGGGGTTCGCTATTAATAACGAACTCGTAGAATTCTGACCGGCAATTATTGCAGACCGCTTAAGTGTGTTCACTGTCAAACCGCTGGGACTAATTCAATGCGCATAATTCTTTTTGAATCATAAGAAATTGTACGAACTGTCTTGATTTTGATATTCCAATAGTGAAATTATATATACTGGAATCAGACAGTTTATTTTCGTTTCGTGTTGAAAACTCGTAAGTTGCATCACAAGTTCCAGTGTTTGCCAATCTTGACTGTTAAGGATATTTTTATTTAAATGTGTTGATTCTTTCAGGTAAATTTTTTTTAAATATGTGCAATGCTAAACTCTTCAGTCTTCCATTCAGGAAATTTATGCAGAATAAAGAACTTTACAAAAATCCATTTGTAAACCGCGACATCTGAGAAATCTGAGGATATTATGAAACCTATAAGTTCAGGTGTTTATATTTATATTTTTATTTCTATATCATTAATTTGATTATAGATTTATTTCTAATGTTATATGTTTTGTTCAGATATTATCATTTAATTATGATGATTGTAGCATTAGATAAATTATGAAGCAATATTGTTTTAAACTTTGGCATAGGTATATTGGTAGGGTTAACTTGGTGTTATGAATATGCCATGAATAGATCCGTAGATTCTTTACGATTCTGTTGAAGACATGGCTGGCAGGAGTGTAGTCTAATAAAGGACTATATGGAATGTAACACGATAAGTCAATTAAGTTCATAGTGTTTGCTAACTATGAACTTAAAACTAAATTAAAAAAAATTGGTCTTTATTTACCTTTTCTTGCAGGAAGTGGAGGAGTTCGGTCATATCAGAGTCTAAGGATTTAATATGTTCTACATGCAAATCGCAATTTCTGCAAACAGAACTGAAATTATTACAAAATATATATATATTTATACATATATATATATAAATGTATATATACATATATATTTATATATATGTGTGTATATAGTGACTTATCTAATTTTACGATAGGTAAAATCATAGCTGAATACTGTTCTATAAATTACCTTTTCTATGTTAATATCAGTCATTATGAACCTCCTTAATTTTGCTTAGCAGAATTAGCTAGCTGCACTTCACGTAAGATATCATCGGCCTACAAATGTGGCATTTCAAAGGGGCTCTTCATATAATTATTCATAACATATACTTACATCGCGAACCACCCGTTTAATGAAAGTAATTATGAGCGCAAAAAAAGCAAAGGCAACTACAACACGTAAGTCCAAACAGATTTTAACCACAAATTGTTCATTCATTCCAGCATAAGTTAAACTTACTAAAGTCAACATGAAAAATGTAAAGATAGTGAGAATCATATTTGCACTATTTTATTAGCTATTTTCATATGACAAATTTTGCAATACTTTTTAATAATTCAAAAGTATTTTAAGTAACACTTTCAAATTACAAAAGACTATGAATATTATATGCATTGCTTCTATATACTTGTAGAAAAAACTTTTTTTTTTATATTTTTTTTTAAATGTTTTAACTTTTACATTTAAATTCAAAATTTCGTTTGCTCAGAAAAAGCAAGTATTTTTCAATATGAACAATTATAGCTATATAAACTTAACTATTTCAAAAATCAAGTAGAATTTAAGTAAATCTTATAAAACCACAGACTTCTCTCTAATTAACTTCATCATTCTATCATTCTAAGTTGCACTTATAGTAGCGGATCCAAGTTTTGTGTAGTGTTATTGGACGATCCAAACAGCTTTCAAAATCATAAATACGTTATTGCGTTTGATCGACTGTAAACAAAAAATTTCGTTTTTTTTATTTATTTGGAAAGCCTTGAAAGCCAACATGAGACACTTAAACCCACTAAAAACACCTTTCAGGAATATTTTGTACAAAGGGCTACAATACTCAGACCATGAAGGACCATTGTACTGTGAAATTAATTTTAATAATTTCCTTTCGTGATATGGGGAAATGGTCACAACGATAGTTCATCGAACTATCGTTGTGTTTACTGATACCTACATTTGCAATCTTGAGTTTCTTTTGATGATGTGATTGAGTTAACTAGAGTTTTAAGCGCAGCTTGGCTGTTACACAGAGCCACGACGATCATCCCTTTCTGTGTAAATTCAGAAATTGGTGCAAGATTATTAGCCCTTGCATTTGAAAGCCAAATGCGTGTGAACCCTAGACAAAGCAGTATTTGCTGTTTAAAATCTGGAATACCAGTTCTCCAGTTCTGTCATTCCACTTTTATAGACTTAAGGTCTAGGACCTAAAACCAAGAGACATTATTAGGTTTGTCAATAAACTACGTTAGTTAAGGTTTACTGAGGAGTTTCTCTTTAACCATAGATCTTATAGATCGAAGTGTATAATTATCTCTTCTAACAACAATAATAATACAAATGCACATCATTTTAGAATCTCACAACAAGATAAAAGTGTAGTCTAGAATAATTACAAACAAAATTGATTGTAAAAATTTTGATTGTAAAATATTTGCTAGTGCTGCCTTCGATCAAAATCTTTTAAATAAAATTATAATATATGAATTATATATGAATTAATATAATGAATTAAACCTTAATAATTAAAATTAAATCTTATTACCGAAACAAAAAA